GCCACAATTGTCTTTATTATTATTATTATTATTTCCTTTGATTTTTCCTTCCGGGCTACCAGGAATCCCTTCAATGAGTCTATCGGAACCTTTACCAATTAATCCGAGTGCTCCAACTACAACTGGAATTATTGATTTCATGTACTACTTTCGAGATTTCCATTTCAATATCCTTGCATTTTGATAGTTTTTTTTGAAGATCTTCAAAGATACATTACAATCTGCAAGGACTGCCATGTCAATAAAAAAGCAAATTCTGTTCTTGTGGTCTTTGAACACAATGTTTGGGAAATTATCTTTGATTATTCTGTCTGTGTGTATTGTAAAGTCCCATAAAATAGTTATAGATCCTATCTCTGTAACGAGGTCTGAGTAATGTTCAGCTCCTTTCAGTTTCCTTCCCTTAAAAGTTGCATATTTTCCAGTGTAGATACTAACTCACTCTACCCTGCCGAGTTTTATATTCAGTGGGTGCGAACACTGTGCAAACTGATTATTATTATTATTATTATTATTATTATTATTATTATTATTATTTTCTTTGATTTATGGCGTTTACACATTTCTTTCCGGATCCCGCCCAGGGACCTAAGGTTAGAAATGGCATCATGACACTTTCCACTGACACAAAAAAAAAAAAATTACATAGATAAAGCCCTTCGTAAAGTGTGGGCTATACTTGTGAGAACAATTTTTTGTATCTCCTTGAGGCATGGACTTCCAGGAATCCCTTCAATTAGTCTGCTGGAATCTTTTCCAACCAGTCCTTGGGCTCCAACTACAACAGGGATTGTTGATGTTCCCATATGCCACATTTTCGAGATTTCTATTTCAAGGTCCTTGTATTTTGACAGCTTTTTGAATATCTTCAAAGATACATTGCAGTCAGCAGGGACTGCCATATCAATAAGGAAGCACCGTTTTTGTTTGTGGTCTTTAATAACAATATCTGGGCGGTTGGCTTCGATTGTTCTGTCAGAGTGTATCGTGTAGTCCCATAGAATTGTAACAGGTCCTATCTCTGTAACCGGGTCTGGGTGGTGTTCATACCATTTTCTTTCAGTTTCCTTCCCGTAGAAGTTGCAGATTTTCCAGTGCAGATATTGGCCTACTCTGTCATGCCGGGTTTTATATTGAATGGGTGCCAATATCGTGCAACCTGATACAAGTATTATTATTATTATGATTATTATTATTGTTATTAATAGTAGTAGTAATAGTATATGTTTCAAAGTCCCTATTGATCTTCAAAAATTTAAAAGCAATGTCAATAGTTATCTTCTGTCTTCTTAATTCCTGTTCTTTTACTTAAATAAGTTTTTTACAGTACAAAATTTAACGATAGCTAGGAATAAGCAAAATTTATATGGCATTTTAAAAAAAAAAGCTAAAAAAAAAAAAAAGAACAACCGGTTTCGTCCTAGCCTTATCAAGTTTATATTCTGGGATATAAAAAATAAGCGTGTAAATTTAATTAATATTAATGATAACGAATGGAGAAAAAAATGAATTTCAAGAAAGCTAGAGTCCAATAACATTCAGACCCAGTAAGCATTCCCTCTGTTTACAAAGAGAAGGCCCACGGGATCTGATATACAAGGACTCTAGAACCTGAGGTGAAATGTGGAGTAGGACCTAGATAAAATCGAAAAACGGTCACCACTAAAATCAAACACACAATTCCTGCTATTTGTTACATGATCAACAATAGCAGAGTCAGAAGTATTGGTTGGTTGGATTTTCCTGGCATCTGGATTCACTTTTATTGTTCTTTCTTCTTAATGTTTTTTTTTTAATTGCTCATATTCTTTCACGCTCAGTAATGCTTTGCGTCTTAGTGGCTTTATTACCTTGAAATGATTAAAAGATTCAAAAGTAGTTTCATCTTTACAAACCTCTACTCTAAATCAAGAATTCCCAACTTTTTTTGCGTCATCGTCCACTTTCACATACAAAAACTTTCCGACTAGTATATTCAAGAGCATACCAAAATTGTTTGATAGAAATGTGTTACTGGTTCGTAAAATAACTTCATGATGCAGTAAAAAATACCAAAGGGAGGAAACGAATAACGCTGACTTATGTGTCAATAGCTGCTGCTACTACCATATTGACGAAAACTATATAGAAAATACCAATATATTCCTTGTTTGAGGAGATATGTATATCTTATCTCGGATTGTGGCGTAGCTATTCTCATTTAGCCGCCGGTTGTTGTTTTTGTTCGTATTTTTTATGTATTTAAAGGTTGTTTGCATTTTAGATAGCATATGTAAAAATTCTATACACTGCGTGCCAAATTATTATCGAGATAACTTTTTTTCTAATATTTCGAAAAACCGTCCAATCAATTCACGCAAAATTTTCACACACCGTTGGCAATACTGACCTGCGCAATCACTGAATTTTTCGTACTGATCTGCGCAATGTAAACAAACTGGCGCCATATTTGTTATCAGCACGGACTTTTAATTATAACAATCAATTATAACATCTCGATAATAATTTGGCACGCAGTGTATTGCCCACTAAAGTTTCCAATCACCAACTATTTTCTGTTCTGTTGTTCATCGCTCATCTAACAGGGGAAATCACCTACGCAATGAAATGCTAAATGCACATTTATACTTCCAGCAGCTGCAGCCTGTCCATAATAGTTTAAGCTGCGCTCGTTAATAGCAACAGCGTGGTTATCCAGGACAGCCCTAAAAAACATACAGCAAAACTGACACAGGATAAATTTTACAACTCGATTGGACTAATCTACGTCACACCATATATGCCTGACCATGTGCCAACAATCTTTAATAATTTTACCAGGGGTTCCATATTGCACATTCTTAGGACACAATTTTATGTCTTCAATTACAGATATTGGGTGCATAATTTTCTACGATCAGGGTAAAATTATGTTTTTATAGATAAATAGTTTATATATTTAAAAAAATGTATTGGTATTGTTTAATACATTGCTAGAAATTTCACAAAAAATGTACTGATGGTAATTCTTTTATAGAAATATATTTTTGCAGTTTTTCGTTTTTATATTGATTGTTATTTTGCTCTGTATTCTTGACCTTTTTATTATAACAAGTATTTTATGTCAATTTGCTATAAAATATATTGATGTTAATTTTACTATAAAATGTATTGTTGGTAATATATATTTTTTGTTACTGATCCTTTCTCTACAAAAATGAAATTGCTGGTATTTTATTATATGTATCTATTTTTATACTTTCCTAGTGTTTGGATTTTTGTTTAGCAGGCTCACTATTTGCCTATAGCTGGGACCACAACAAGTGCTACCACCAGGGGTCGGTGTGGATCTTGGAACAACAGCAATTAAGATGTGGTTCCACGCTCCTTACAAATGGCCAATCTCCCGCTCAGATACTGACGGATGTAGTCGTCTTAACATTTTTTCACATCAAAACCTGCATAATTTTATTCAAAAGAGATCAAAGAACTGCCTTATAAATCAAATCAAGTCTCCGCAAATAATGGCGAATACATAATTGAATAAAATATAATTTTAATTTATTTTTTTAAATAAACTTAATAAAGGGAAACGGGAACGAATTATAACTGAACCTAATAAAACAAAATGGGACCGTACGTTTTCGTTCACGGAGCTTGTTGTTACTATTTATTAACGAGATATTCCATTGTTATGGCAAAAGGTGAGATTACTCGATGCTTAAATTGAACCTACGTTGTGTTAGAAAAAACGAATATCTAATTAGTAATTATTGACAACACGTTATATATAGATTAGTTTTAATTCCCTTTCTTTTGTGATAGCTTTCTGTTGTTATTTTTACTCTTAATAGTTTCAAAAACAGAATTCTTTCTCACACGTGACAATAGAGTTAATTTTAGAGATAGAAATCCTAGATTACTCATGCAGAAAACACAACTGCAAAATTACTTAAATATGGCCGTCAGTTTTTTGATGATCCTACTAGTGTTCGCATTCTTTGGATATTTTTACTTTTAATGATTTAAAAAACAGTGTTCTTTCTTACATGTGACAATAGAGCTAATTGTAAACATAAAAAACTCCTAGATAACTCATGCAGAAAATATAATCAATGTAATTGCAAAATGTCTTTAATATGGTCGTCATTTTTGTCTGTACGGGTCGTGTTATTTTTCTGTGGGTATTTTTTACATTCAATTATTTAAAAAGCCGAATTCATGTGACAATGAACTTAATTGCATCAATATAATCTAAAATAACTCATGCAGAAAATATAATGGACGTAACTTTATTAGACAAAAAAAAAATCGGAGCATTGCTGCCATATCTGGAGTGGGGCTGTCCAATCCTCACTTTTTCAGTTTTGAACGTGGCCTTATGAGGTATGACATATTTTCCACCCCACAAGTATCGCCTCCACAGACGCAACGTTGAAAGTCTGTCGATATTCTACCCAGGGCAGTAGCGTGTAGAGTGGGTAGACAGACGGTGCGAAGGCCCCGGGCATCCATATCAGGAGGGCATCTAATGAAAAAGTGAAATAAAAATTTATTTTATATTTAATTTGAATAAAGTGTTTGTTCCATGTTTCGTCTATTTTTACATATTCAAATTGTCTTCCTTTCTCACATTTTTCAGTAGTAGGCCCTTATAGGCCCCACTATCCCTTACTTGAGTCTTGTAGGCATACAATCAAGGAGTTGGCTTCGGGCATCATCAAACATCACGAAACCTTTGCACGTCAGTGTCCCGGGGCAAATGTACGAACGTACTCGATTTTTGAATCCCACTAATTCAGTTCTTTTTAGCTGTGACTCGCCACATTGCGTCATTGACTCTATATTGTAAGAATGAAGTTCCCCTCAGACAGGCTTTACCCCACGAACTGTTATGTGCTTCCCGGAACGTTACAATCTTAACCCCTTCAAGTCAAGGCTGAAACGTTACCTATCCACAAAGTCCTCATTTCCTAAGTCCGACCCTTGTGTTCATATCACATACCTCATTCCGGCTTACGGCTACATTACATTGAAACTCTGATTCTCGTATGTTCACCGAAGTTAAGCAACGTTGAGCCTGGTCAGTACCTAGATGGGTGACCGTTTGAAAATGCCAGGTGCTGTAAACTTGGATGTGCGGGTGGTGTAATAGATAATGGGTCAGAATTGTTAATCGGAGAACCGAGTTCCAATTCCCATTAGTTTCGTTATATTCACTAACGCGCAAATACCCTTAGGAAAGGCACGAATCCATCTTTTCTACCTCCAGCTATAGGTTAATTAGTAAAACTTGTGTTACTAAACGATTATCCTCTAAAAAAGTTCTTTCAATCTAAAATATTTCCTGGCTTTAAATAGCCTGCAAAGGGTTGATAAGCCATAAAAAAATCAAATAATGAAATACTGGCTAGCAACACATACATGTCGTTTAGATTTATTTAATTTCCCTGGAATATAAATTTATAGAAGATGGTCATGAAGTGAGGGATCAGTTTATATATTGATTGTAATATAGAATTGATCCCCCAATTTATATCCGCATTATAATTTGTTTATTAAATTCTGATTAGATATGTAACCACCTCTTCTCACTCCTAACTATGGGTTAATGAGTAAGACCTGTGTAACTAAACCATTATCATCTAAAATAAAATATAAAATATATATATATATATATATATATATATATGTGTGTGTGTGTGTGTGTGTGTGTGAAGAAAAAATATACGGAAAAAACAAACAAAAATCCTTATATACAATTATGCTGTTTTAATGTTAATATGTCAACGTCGGACGTTTCGGTCTAATAAACCATCTTCAGGACATATTCATAAAATATAATTAACATTATCAATTCAACATGACAAAAACGATGTACATAAGAATATTAACATTAAAACAGCATAATTGTATATAAGGATTTTTGTTTGTTTTTTCCGTATATTTTTCTTCATACTGTTGGATCTATATCCATATATTTGCTTGCATATATATATATATATATATGTACATATCCAAGTATAAACTTAATAGTGATTAATTTGGATTTTAAAATTGCCAGTTTTTAATTTTAATATTAAATTTTATCGTATATTTTTATAATTATTGGTTAGAATAAATTATTTTTAATATTACACGTATTTTAAAGATCTGAATATCTATTATAACATGATTTCGTTGCCAAGCTTTTGAATCTTTCTATACTTAGTTTTTGATTGGTTATTCTAGCTTTTGTAACAATGTTTCCCCCTAGTGTAGGATCATTAATTAATCTGAAACTTTTAAAACCATTTATTTTATCTTCAACGTCATCACTTGATAAGACACAGAATGTGTTGAAACAAAATGGCTATTTTTGTAGTGATTTTATAACATACTTATGTTATAATTTTTTTATAAATAATAATTATATATGTACATATATATATATATATATGTATATATATATATGTGTGTGTGTGTGTGTGTAAATATTTCCTGGCTTTAAATAACCTGTAGTGTTAATAGGTCGCAGAAACTAAATCCATCAATCAAAACATACCTCATTCCGTAATCTTCTACGTAGCGCAACTCTTGAGTCTAGTTGTTATATATTAAGGATGTATCCAAAGTCTGTTGGGTTTTTTAACCTTTACTCAAAAGCAAATTTCATATCCACGTTGAAAGACTACACTAGTCTGCACCAAATGTTTTATCAAATTATTTTAGCTGATTTAGAACAATTTGAATGTGCTGAATCCAAATATCAAATTGATTTTGCTCAATCAGGTCAACTTTTTAAGCTATGGCCGCATGCTGCTTTTTACGTTTTCGTAAACATTGCCATGTCCATTAAAATAACTAAATATGCAACATATTTCACACAATAAAACTAATTCTCATGTTAAATTTTACACTTATTAATTTTAACCCATCAGAATTATTTTCAGCCAAAATAGCTACATAAATATTAAAACACGCCTTCAAAATTTTTATAAACTAATAACACACAATAAAATACTTATATCTCAAAACATACCAATTACAATACAAAACCATAGAATAAAAATCAGACATGTTTTATTAGTCATTATAATTTAGGTCAAAATATTGCACGGACGTATTAGTAAGCATACTACATGACTTTTTTAGGGTCAATTAGGAATAACTAAAATTATATAATTCAGGAGCTAATATCTCAGGAATAACGATGTTTGACCTCAACGACAGAGTCTGTCAGATTCCACTAAGGGCCATGTCACTCTAACTGTTGATATTCAAGACCTCATTCTCTTTCACATACACTATCAAGAAACGACTCAAAAACTTGGTGACCATGATAAAACTGGAGCGCCACACATGGTATGTAAGACATGTACCGATAATCTGTATTGGTGGACCAAGGGCAAGAAGATTTCTCTGAAATTTTAAATTCCCATGATTTGGCGGTAGACAACACACTGTAGCACTGACTGCTACTTCTGTGCTCTTGATGTGACTGGAATCAACAGAAAGGACCGGAGCGACCACAAGTATCCTGATCTTCAATCAGCACATCGTTCTGTAGCTCATTGTAATGAAATTCCAAGACCTGTCTTTGGGGAACTAAATGATCTTGTTCACAATCTCAGCTTGTCCATATGCTCTGTCTAAGTGTTGGCATCCAGACTGAATGACAAGAAAACCTCCATTCTGATAGTGCTCGCCTCACCTTCTATCACAACAGACTTCAAGGGTATCTCCGTTTTTTTTTCTCTGAAGAGAAGGACTCAAGATGTTAACATGCCACACTACTTCGAACAAAAGGTTAGGAAGGAAATCCCCGTCAATACTACAAAGATCGATATCAGCTACCTGTTTCCTGAAAAAAAAGGTTTAAGAGAACGATTTTATAAATTTCACCGAAAGCAATACTGGCTGCTCGGTCAGTGAAAGCCAGATGTTTTCTTGACGGAAAACAGTTAATATTGACATATATATATATATATATATATATATATATATATATATATATATATATATATATATATATATATATATAAGCATTACGCCCTGAGCAAGGCATGAAGCCACTAGGATGCAGGGGTTGCAGAATATTTGAAGCAAGAGCAGATAGGAGTGATAGAAGAAAGGATGAGGAGAGGGATAGTGGGTAGATCAAGGTAACTAGAGATGTCGATTGACATTACATTTGAATAGTTGGAGATTATAGATCTCAGGGAAACAGTAATTGGGAAGGGTGTTCCACAGGCGTGAGGTGCGAGGTATGAAGCTATTGGAGTAGAAGAGACGGCTACATTTAAAAGTTTCTACAGTGTAAGGATATATATATATATATATATATATATATATATATATATATATATATATTACGCGTTGTTTGTCCTGTGAGTGTCAGATTTTCCAACCCATCTTTTGCCTATGAAAGGTTTGAGAGCGAGGACACTTTTATGTAACTATGGGAAATTTTCTTTGGACCAATGAAAACATTGTTTTCACATAAATTAGCCGTTAATCCTAGAAAAAGAAAGAAAAATTAGCGAGACCATACGAAATCCTTTTTATTTATATAAAATAAAGAAAAATTTAAATCATCAAGAAAAGAGTGTCTGAAGTCATGTGAAAAATTTAATTTCTGTTCACGCGTACAGCGTTCAGATTGCTCGCTATTATTGACCTTAACCAAGAATTTACCACTTCAAAGAACTTTATTTCAACAATGCAAATCTACTTTTGCAAACCGCATATTACTTCGGTGAGAAATGAACTGTCTTACCTTTGTTTTAAATATTTTTTTAATATTATTTTGTGTCAGATCATTTAATCTGTCCTATGAACATTTCCTCTTCATGACAATTTCTAGAAACTATGGAATTTTCTTTATTTCCTGACACAATTTCAAGCGTATAAATTCGTAAATAAATTCCTGATTTTTTTTGTTTTGTTAAAATTACCCATGTGTTTCATCGTCATTATATGCCTCCATTAATCTTCTTGACGTGGGTAAATCAATTTGTACATTTTTAATCCCGAAGTCCCACACCCCTATACACCATACGAATTTTATATTGCTGTAAAAGACGAGAACAAGCTATCGTTTTTGTATCGTGGGAATTTCAACGGCCTCTTCTTGATGTTAAGTATAAGCGTCCTTTTACCAGACTAAGCTCTATTTAAAACAGAAGACATCCAACCGTATTAAAAGTGTTATTATTCAAATTCCGATTCCAGAGAAGCCCAACTGAATTCTTTTATATCAATATTACTGTCGTTACTTGTTTTTTTTTTTCTTTTGTTTCATATTATCATCATTAGTGTTATCGTATCAATGTGGTAGGCATTGTGTTTTTCAGAATCCACTCGAAATAGACACAGAAGTAACAATAGGCTGTGAATATGTCGGACTGTGCTTCATCACTCAGTCATTCGAAACTCTTTGCACTGTTTGGGCTCGTAACAACCGGTGCGCAATAACAATTGGTTTTTGCAACGAAGATCAAAAAAGTCACGTCATTCAAGCCCGGGGGGGAGAAACAATTCGTTGGAAACAATTCCACGGATTTCGTCTCGCTTTAAATGTTAACGCAGAAACGTTTCGCCTTCTGTAATCTTGAAAATTTGACAGGGTGGTCGTTTTTGCATGCATGCAGCTTCAGCAGGGATGCGCGAATGCAAAGACAACAATTCCACATTTTTTTAAATCAAAAAAAAAAAATTACCATTTTTTTTTATCGCCTCACTATATATTTCTATATTATTGTTATTATTATTATTAGTAGTAGTAATATTGCTTGTATGCACGACGGTTACGGCTTCCTGCATATAATCAAAGAGAATTATCTGCCTGATTCTAGGCTCTTCAGAGCTGGAATGTTGCAACCTGTGATGAAGAATCTATACTTTTATTTTGTTTTGTTGTATATAGGAATGTTACACCTTTCTATCTAAGATCAGAGTGTAGTATCTGTCCGATCCTCGGCCGTACTGAGTTGGACTAAGTTAGGCCTTCTGACCAAGAATCTATACTTTTATTTTGTTTTGTTGTATATAGGAATGTTACACCTTTCTATCTAAGATCAGAGTGTATCGTCCGATCCTCGGTCCTGATCGTTCGAATCCTTTTTTATTTTGTTTTGTTGTATGGAGG